CACCCTGACATTAAAAACAGCACACTGGGTATCGCGCATTGCCACTTTAAAATACACGGGGCAGAAATGCTATGGGGATGCGTCGGCGGTACTGTTAAGGCGAGCAAAGCGTGACGCAGACGTAAGCTACATTTCCGAGACAAAAATGTCAAACAGAGAGCTGCAAAGCAGGCCCTTGAGGGCCTGAGGGCTGCGTGAGAGAGGGATTTGATGAATTCTGTGAACGTTCCACGGATTCCTCCCTCACGGGGACCTTTGGGAAAAGAATGGGTCATATGCAAATGGCATGCACAGTATGGAGGAGAAGTTTCCCACAAGCCGAGTGTGAAAAGGGCTCTCCCTCCCCATGCCGGGCCCGCTGAATGGGCCTTTTCTTCTGCCACTGAAAGTGTATGAGGTAGAGCAGGCAAACTGCAAAGGTAACTAGGCTCTTTCTCCTTAGGCTTTCTCACTAAAGCCTGAACACACAATGGTTCATTTAAGCATTCAGCCACACAAACCCCAATAAAGCACATCCAAGCGCAGTTAAGGGGGTTACTGAAACTGACTCTGGGTTTAAAACTCCTTCTTTACGAAGGGAGAGCACCTTTTATAGGCTAATGCTCTCAGCCTCCATGGGAGCAGCTAATCATTAAGCTGCCTTAACAGAGGTGGGAGTGTGGTCGTACATCACATAATTTTAATTCCGCTGAATGGTCAGGCGAGGACAGGCCTTTTCCCACCCTGATGGACGTGTTGAGGGACGAGGCTTAGCCAAAAAGAAAACTTTTTCCAGGTAGTTAATAAATACTAACACGTAAAGGTTTTGATCTTTACCTGTAGGAGATCTAACATATTTTGGGGTTGTTTTTGCTTACATTCATCTATTGACCCTAAAACCCACACAGGCCTGGGAGATAGCTGTCATGTGTGTCATGCTTCCCATTTGCCAGCGCCAGTACCTCAGTTGTCACCTGTTGTAAAATTCTTTAGTCACCTCAGCCACTTCCCACCAACTCTCTCCATCCCCCCTTTCGGCTCCACAGGGAACATGGAGCCCTACAGTTGAAGCGGTCAAAGAGGAATGGACGGAGTGAAGGAGAAAAAGCTTCAGCTCCAACACCCCCCCCCCCAGCCTCCTCCTCCTCCTCCTCCTCTCTTCCCCTTTCATTGAACAGACTTAAACACAAACACAATTGGACATGCTGGAAGCCTCACAATGGCACAGGGGGGGAAAGTGAAGTCATACTCTACGCACGCATGGGTGCCTAGGTCAGGGGGCAATCAACAGCACCCCTGGCTACTGTGTCTTAACCCCCCCCAGAATAAAAGACGGTCTCTGAAGGGAGGAGTGAGAGGGAAGAGACAGAGACAGAGAGAGGGAGAGCGGAGGCGGGGGGATTTTCTTCTTACTTGGCACTTTCAAATGAAGCTGCTGAGGAAGTTGGTGAAAAGCAGCGAGATAAATGAAAAATTTCCTCCTCTGCTAAACTCTTCACACAACAGGGGTGGACCTTTTAAATGTAAACAGATGTCTTTAAAAACACTGAAGTGGCATGTGGAGCCACAGAGCCAATCCCCACCTCCTCCCAAGCCTCCGCCATTGCTCCTCTCACCGTATACTGGTTTTTTTTTATTGTTCTCCTACAAATGTACAGCGTGTGGTTGTGTTGAATAGTTTCTAGACAGGGTGAGCGAGTCCAGGGCACTAAGTATAGTTTAAGTATAGTTTTACCAGGCCAATAAACATGCTCTTCAACATTACACGAGTTGTTGCCAAGTGCCAAGCCCACAACCTCATTTTCCTTATTTGATGGATGATTCATCAAGGTGCAAGTGTGTGTGAGTGTGCCTCAGGAAGGGAGAGGGAGGGAGGGGTGGAGGGAGAGGGATTAGGGGGATGAGACAGACGACCCTTATGATATTGACAGAAATCCTAGCTACCTGTATGCACACTCATTTCAAGGTGTCTCTGCAAACACCGGCCCGAGCTCCTGAGCAGGGGCACAAAGCTGTCAGAGCACGGCCCTGTTTATTTCTGCAGGCAATGTTAACACCGGGCGCATTCCTCTATTCCCAAATTGCTGTGTTAAATTACCGTTGCAGGGAACGGCTGCAATTCCTGAGGGGAGCTGACTGGGGAGAAGCGACAAAAGGAAGCTGTAGTGTCCCACCGATTGCAAACACCTGTCGTCCTGCGGGCTGTTAACACCTCTCTGTTTACAGCGGGGAATGGAGCTCACCTTGATCTCAGCTGCCCCCGCTAGCCAAGCCACCGACCATAACAAGCTGGGCCCAGCTCGAGGGCCTGCTTAATAGTGATTCTGTTGAAACTTTTGGGGTTTTTCACCATAAAAAAAGGTAGGTGGGAGTTGGTGCCTGAGGAGACAGCAGCACATGTTAAACTGCCAACTTGTTGTAAAAATGGGACTACAACACCGGCCTTCGCTCAAACTTCCCCTTCAAAAAGCAGAGATGTTGATTTACATGACAGATCACCGGCCTTGTCAGAAGGTGGGAGGAAGTGAGGGCTTAAAAGCAGACCTTGATGGCTCTTTTGAAGCAAATGCAAATGAGGCTGAGTAACAGGGGACACATCTGTTTGGTTAAGGATGTGACTTTAAATGACAATAGGGCTGTGTCATTATTCAGAAACGTTTAATAAAACCCCGTTAAGTTAAAGGGGTGGAAATAAAGCAACATATGATAGGTAGACATCCTGAAGTCTCTCCAGAGTAAATAAGACTCTCCTTTCCCTCACAGGCCAGAGGAATATCCACACCTTGACAGCAGGAGGACCGTTATCTGAGGTGTGTCCACACCTTGCACACATTGCGCACAAATGAATAGCTGAACTCAGCCCATGAAAAACAGTGGAAAGCAAAAAAAAAAAAAAAGAAGCCACTCATCGGGTATCCACAGAGAATTCACAGACAGCAGTTACCCCGCACTAGAGAACACCGCTGCCTCTCCTCCCACGAACTACTGCTTTCAGAAAGTAGCGACTCTCCGCTCATCCCATATCTGATCAGACTGGTTTGTTTCGACAAAAATAACGCAGAATTTCCTGCATTACCCCAGTTCCTTTCAGCTACACTTGGTGGCACAACACATGAGCAGCTGATACACAACACATGTTGTCAGCCCCGCGACAAAAAAAGGCTCCCTTTCACAATAAAATAATCCTAAATAGTTACGGCCGTGGCACAATTGTCGCTCTACGGATTCACAACAACAAACGGCGTAAATGCGTGAAAGGATGTTCCAACGTTATAACAACTAGCAAAAGTCCATAAGCTTAACCTTTACCTCCAATTTACCTTAAAAAAAACCGAAATTAACGTTTATACAAAAAGGAGAGTAACAAAGACTCAATGAAGAGAGCCCCGTAGGCTACTTTGTAACCATACAAACAATATTTTCCCACCACAGTAAATCCCGCTGAGCCTCGCATACCGAAACGGAGCTTATGTATCCACTTGTTACAAGTATACAGGCTGTGTTTAAATAGGCGATAACAGAAGGAAAGTGAGTGTGTTCGCTCGCGTCCACTGTCGTGAAAGAATCAGGATTCCCAGCGCGCGACTGGAGAGGATCCGCTGTCCTTATATGGGCTGCGCTCGCCCTGCTCACACAAACAGCGCGTGAGATATTCCTCGTTTTCCGGAACCTCTGTTACCCCATCCATGTTTCTGTTAAGCTTTCTGTCGTTACTTGACTACAAAAGACACCCGTTAAAACATTTCCCGGGGACGGTACGAGCGGCGCGGAACTGAAACACTGTAATAAGTTGGAGAATGAAGAAAACAGCTCAAAACGCGCTTCAACACAACAACAGCGCTCATTTCTTCTCTTTTCTGTCTTAAAACAGTAAAACGGTGTCGTCTATAACGAAAACATAATTTGAGGCGCATAACCAGGGAGGACAATATGGGGTAAAACGGGTTTTGTCAGCCCGTGTAGTGCAGCAACAGTGTCCTATCGCTACCTGCTCCGAGTGAGCGAAAGAAAGAAAGAACAAACCAAACAGTTGTGTTCCCTCTGTTTCACAAACACAAATAATGTCCACGACGTTTTCGACAAAACAACACTTGTATCTAATGTTATTTTTCAACCCGAATTGTAAAAGACAACCGGTCTGTCGAGGTCCGCAATAACAATCAGGTAGCCACAGAAACAGGTCCGAGTTTGGTGGAGGGCTGAAGAACTCGACAGAATGAAACTAAATCAATGAATGCAGACTCTGTAAAGGGGGTCAAAGTGTATTAAAATGAATAAACATGTATAAAGTGGAGACAAAAGCTGCCCCGTTCATAACAGGGTGAGGTGCGTATAACGGTCTCCGGTGCAGCGGACCGCTAGGCGGAGGGAGAGACGCGACCCAGGTATAACGGTACACCACATAGGGCTGTAATACAGCGCTCACTTGCTACTTCCCAGCACTTTCCGTTACTGAAAACCGGACTTGTGGGCTGCCAAACTTTTCGGTGAAATTACCGGCAGACAGAACAGCCTCCGGACCGTCTCACCGAAAGAAAAGCCCCGCGTCGGGAGCACTTTTACTCACCGTTGTTCCTCCTCGGGTTCGCCTGCTTTCTGCGCTTACACCTGGGGCCATCCGCCATGATCCTTTCGTTGTGTCTAAATGCTGCCGGAGAGTCACCTCCTCTCTCACCCCCTCTCCCCCCTCCTCCTCCTCCTCCTCTCCCTCTCTTTCACCTCCCCTTCTCCGCACCTGGTTTACGACAGCTCAGCTTTACGACATCACCTTCCCGCACCTCCCCGACCCACGCTGCCAGTACCACTCACAGTAAGTACTGGAAGTGAGAGGGATGACTGCATGCCCACTGTACCTGCCCAGCCTTTCACTAATGTGCACTAATGTGTAAAGATACACTGTTATTTCTCTGTCTTTTTATAGTGGGGAGTAAAAGGTGCAGGCATATAGGTGATAGTGGTTAGTGGTTGTGTAAGTTTGCATTATTTATAACATCACAAACGACTTGCTGTGCTTAATGCAGTTTGTTTACCTGAACACAATGCAGGTTGGAAATTTAATGTATATATTTTTTTTAATATTTGGATGTATTTATTTGTCCAAGAAAATATTTTTTAGATGTAATATTATATTGTGTTGTATTTGGTAATTTATCACTTACTTTCTCCTACACACACTCACACACACACACACACACACACACACACACACACACACACACACACACACACACACACACACACACACTTAAGTAACTGGTTGAAGATGAATTATTTTGTGACATAAACAGTGTACATCATGTTATGAAAAGCACCTTCCAATATGGCATTTTGCCACCCAACTTTGACCTACTGACCCGTGTTGTGTATGTGTTGCACAGTAGGATAGCAACACACCAGACAGTGTGTGTGTGTGTGTGTGTGTGTGTGTGTATGTGTGTTTGTGTGTGTCAGAGAGAGGAAGATGTCATGAGACTGTCATCACTGATTCAATCCTCCACCTAAAGAAAGGCCCTGCTGTTCTCCTCCGGAGCCGAGCTCGCTGCAACGGTGATGAAGAGGACACAGGCATACCTCCACGTACACACACACACACCACTTATCACACTGGGCTCTGTGTAAATAGAAGAGAGAAATCCAGGATCACGTGTTTGAGGTGAATTCTTCTGGAAACTTGTAGTGGCAGGAAAGATGAAGTTTATAAACTCAGCGCAGGATGAAATGATGCTCGAGGTCCCATGACATGTTATTATAGGTCAGAGAAGCGGCAGTTGCTGCGAGGCTGTGGCTATTCTTGAAGCAGATGAGGTTTCTGGTGCCTGGACCTCTGGTATGTGAGATGTTGTCATCATTCAGTCTATTGTGGAAGCTAGACTGTGTAACCCAGTTTCGCCTCAAGTTGGGTGTCCTGCATTGTCAGGACTGTTTAATGAGGCCGTGACATAACCAAACGACAAGCCCGACATTTCATCATATACTAGATATTACGTCACAGGCGTACAGCTTCCATATAAATCTATCACATATTTAAACTCTAGGTAACAAACTCCTCATTGCCAGACAATCAGCGTATCATTCAGCTACATGTGACAGCTTGTATACATAGGATGGCAGCTCTCTGGCCTGAATAATTCAGTAGCAGCAGACCAGTCCAGCTCTCGGGGCAGGCTGCCCAGCCAGAGAGTAATAGCTTTAGCATAAACAACACCTCCAAACTTGCTCCAGGTGGCCTCTTCCACCAATAGGCAGCCTGTCTGAGAGGGACGCGGTGAGGGGAGGGTGCCCAGACTCTCCCTCTCTCTCCTCCTTCTCTGATGAAAAAGGCCCCAGAAACAGTCTACATCAGCAAAGATCAATGATGAGACGCTACGCTAACCGTGCAGCCGTAGCGGTGTTTCCTTGCACACCGAGCCTGGAAAAATAGGATGCTTGTTATCCAATGGAAAGTCCAATCTTTCCCATTTTCCTTGGATCACGCCGCCATTAGCATGAAGTCATTTTTCAGCGTCTGTGGAAAACAAAGAATAACAATTATACGACCGCTGCTAAATGCGAAATAGCCTGAAGACATCTCTGATGTGTTTCAGAGGGACTGGAGTGAAACAGGGTGATTTATTTCTCTGGCAAATCTCTGTGTATTTTGTACCGGAGCAAATTCATACACCAGCAAGTGAGAAATACATGGACCTGCTTACAGGGTTCCTGATGACCCCTCTATGATTTGGATGAATGCTGGGTCAGATAAGTCAATTACAAGGCATTGATTTAATTTCATAAAAATGGCTGCCTCACACTAAAATTAAGACCTCAGCAAATAAAGACAGAGGCCATTTTTATCATGAAATCCCTGCAACCCCCCCCCCCAAAGAGGAGTAAAAGAAATAAGAAGAAAGTGCTATTCACCTGAATAATGACATCAGCAATAAAACCCTGATATTGTCTTCTTAACTAAAATGGGCCATGAAATACAATCAAAGGCTGACTCCTGCTCTTCCTATGGGGAGTTGAAACTGAGGCGAGGAGGGTTGGTGGGTGGGTGGGGGGGAGTGAGGGATAAGCAGCCATCCTCCACTACATTAAGGGATCATGCTGCTCCCTGAAAATGAGTATTGATCCTCTTAGGTCCAGGATCGTTTAGGAGATTAATGTGAGTAGTGGCTGAGCTCCATGGTGCTCCACGCAGGACCAGGGGATCAGCTCAGTGGGATGGCCGAGCCAGAGCAGCCTATCGGTGAGTGGGGGACAGAGGGGCTTGGTGTGCAGTTGAAGGGAGGAGGAGGAGGAGGAGGAGGAGGTGGGGGCAGCACTGTCCCGTACATACAGCCCCAATCCCACTAGGTCTGTGCCATCTGGGCTGAGAGAATCAGCTGGACGTCTGGGGGTTGGAGAGGGGTGGGTATGAAAAATAAAAAGGGAGAAGTGTAAATATAAAAAGTGTTGGGGGGGGGTCAGAGGCAAGCAGGATGAATGATGGAAGAAAGCAAGTGAAGGGAACAGAGGAAACGAAAGTAGAAGAGAGGAACAGAAAGCGCAAAAGGAGGATGACAGAAAAGGTACACCCTGCCCTGCTCCAAATAGAGAGGAGAAGCAGGAGGCAGTGATAGAGAGAGACACAGCAAAGACTAAACTGCTTAATCTCTCCCAAGAGACGGCAGCTAAATGTGAGGTCCTCCTCCTCCCCGTTCCACAGCCCAGCAACCCCCACACAACACTATCACCACCATGGCACTCAGCTGCAGTCAAGGCAGTCAAGGCAGTTATCCGGCAAAGAGATCCACACACACACACACACACACACACACACACACACAAACACACACACAAACACACACACACATTAAAAGTGCTCAGGTGGAGCCTTCATGGCAACTGATACTGTGGAGAAGAGAAAAGATCAATTTCAGCCCAGACCTGAAGCGCCACGCTGCACAAAAAGAGCTGTGAGAGTGGAAGTTTGCAGGGAAACACAGTTAGTGATTTATAAATTCTGTTGCTTTTAACAATCTGGCTCGCAGCAAATAAACAGATCTCACCGCGAGCCTGAGAATGTTCTCATGTCTCCCTCTCCCTCTTGAGGGAGAGAGGTCAAGTCGCCCCCCCGGGGAAACTCCCGAAAACAAAATATCAGCTGTAGTATTCAGCAGTAGTTGAATGCGTGCTGTCAGAGTCTGAAGCCCAACAATACAATGTTTTGAGGACGAGATGTCAATCTCTCGGTTTTCCTCCGCCAAGCCGGAGTATTCACGACTGGCTTCCGCCTCCTTCTATGGATTTTTCTCAAGGCAGGAAGTAGCTGACACACTTGTTGGAGTGAGCCACACCTCAAACATCTTAGACAGGGGAAAAGGTGAAAAGGACAGAACCAAAACACTCACTCAGACATCCCAATGTATTCTAATACTCCTCCTCTATTAAAGGGGCACTCCACAGCTCAACAGTTCCATTTACTTGTTATGAGGAGTACTAATCATCCGATTAAAGCAGTTGAATAATGTCTTTTGTGGCTCTGGAGGGAGCACTCCAAATGGAAAAAATGACCCTGTTGTTGCTTGGAATTAGAGACTGAATGTTTTTAACACAAAGCTTCATTACAAACTGCAAGCAGTTACTGTGCTTAAAGGACCAGTGTGCAGGATTTTGGCATCTAGCAGTGAAGTTGTAGATTGTAATCTTTTGAATACAGCAACCATCCAAGTGTGTAGAGAAGAAATCACAAAACCCCTGTCTAGAGCCAGTTTTTGGTTTGTCCTTTCTAGGCTACTGTAGAAATACGGTGGTTTAACATGGCGGGCTCTGTAGAATAGGACCCTTCTAAATGTTACACCCTGGACCTTTAAATAAAATTGTGAGTGACAGTACTTTAGATTACTTAAATCTTTTCATGTTATGCCACTTTATTCGTATACTCCACTCCAATTCAGAGGGCAATTCATTCATTTAGTCACTTTACAGGTTAAGTTTTTACACACAAAACACCTAACGAGCTTATAGAATATAATGCATAAAAAGAGATGAAACTACCCAACAGTATGTAAAATATTAAAAAGTGGCTCCACATTGAATTTATCTGTAATGAATGTGCTATATAAATAAAATCCCCTTATCTATACACAGTAAAATGCTTCTTACACATTAATACATGAGTAAGAACAATCCAATTATACATGCTAATATGATAATATAATGGTCACAGGGGCCATTTACTTTTGATACTTTATAAAAGCTTTAGTAGGTCACTTTTATATAAAAAAAAAAAAAAATGGTCATATTTGTTGTTACTTTCACTATATGCTGACTGTAGTACATGAGACAGATAATCCGTGGAAAGGATGTGATTTGCTTTTGGGGTACCACAGACCAACAAGCCAATCAAAAACAACAAGTTGACATGGTTGCGATTACATCATTCCTCCCTAGTAAACACCCATGCCTTTCAACCTTCAGTTTGTAATGCTTTTTGTTAAATTACACCTCCATGACCATTATGGTGTGCCATTGTTAAAGGTCTCAAGCCCAACCCAAGATAACCCTTATAACATCTGGGTTATTTTGTCAGATTTTACAAGGTTCCTACACAGCCATAGAAGGCATTATACAGCTGTTTTCACAGGCTGTGTAGGAATCCCCATGACAAATAAACTGACTTTGCTTTGTAAAGTCACCTTTAATCGCAGGAAAAAGTGCAGGGAACAAAAAAATTTTCTTTGATCACTTCATGAGTCAAAAATCAAGATTAGATAATAACTCTGAGGGAGGATTGGTGTAAAACAGGATTGAAGAAGCCCCCTCTGACACTTAGAGTTACACAAACAAACACAAACCCCCCCTCTCCCTCTGCACTCCCATGATTCCACAGGGGTGGGTGGCCACGGGGCTGAGAGCTTCTGACCTGCGGGTGAACGTAACGCTGCCTGTCTCCACGGCAGGCCAAGATATATACTTGTTTTGGCTAGCTAGACGTGTGTGAAGTTATCCTAACACATGCGCGTACATACACATGAATACACACACACGACCTCGGTGCTCCAGACAGGCTTGCCCCAGCCTTCTCCCTCCTCTTGTGACTGTCAAAAGGAGACAGCCATCCTCTGGAAAGCCCAGAGTAAATTTATACTGTATTTATTGGAGCGCCTGTTGCATTTTACTGTTCATTTGTCCTTTGCGGCTGGAACAGCATTTGTGCGCTCTGCAAAGACGTCAAACTCAGTCTATCAGGGCGTTATTTTTGGAGGCATCTTCTCACACAGTTGAAACCAGTGTGTGGTGAAATAGTAAGTGTGAACTGAGGTGTACTGCTGTGACAAGATGATGTTATTAATCAGGTGATGCAGGTGATGATTCCTTTCTGCTTCTAGCTTGTCAAGGTTTGCCCAATACCATCCTGTATGGAATTAAAATTGGCTGTGGAAGTCACTTTTTCCTGTGTTCTGTATTGAGTTGGATCACCCAAATTTTAAACAAATGCACATTTTCAACTGGTGAGGTTTACCCATGCAGAATAGTTTCTGCTTTGTGTGCCCAGGTTTTGAGATACCTGTCTCTGGTGAGTGGAATTTTATGTTTAGACATTACGACAAAACTGTTCAATGGAACTACCTTCTATCAAAGAAATTAACACTGTTCACAACATGCACCGTGGATTACAAGGACACTGTTTTCAGCCACTTAGAACAAAGGTGAAAAAAACATACTGACACATAGAAAGTTGTTAAATGTGCAAAGCAATATGCAGTTGCATACTTACATATCCATCTGACATAGAGCAACACTAGGATTCATTTGGAGTGCTGTTTCTCGCCACCTGGTGAATGTAAGTCAAATGTACACTCTTCTTTTAACTCTGCTTTTGGTCTCTACCATCTCCTGAGGGAAATATATGTCTCTTTATTTGCTACATGGTCCACCGTGTCCATCAGCTAATTGCTAACATTGTCTGTCTGCGGTTTGGAGCTGCGGAGGTAGTGTGCAGTGAGTTTATCAGAGCTACTTCACTGAAAACAGCTCCCTGCTGGGGCTGCAATCAAGGTTGATGAGAGCGGTGAGAGTAAACCAAACCAGTAAAGTTGTGGCCCATAAAATCAAAACAATGAGCTAAAAGAAGCAAGAAAGTTCAGTAGAACTGAGGAGTGCTGCAGTGTTGGGTTATAATCCTCTGTGGGGTTGTCACTTCAAGCCTCGGCTTTCATATTACATTTATTTGAGCCAAACAAAAAAAAGATTACTGCAGCTTTAAAGCTGCAGTAGGTAACTTTTATGAAATATAACTTTTTGTCATATTTGCTGAAATTTTCACTATATCCTGCCCAGTGTATAAAAACAACCAATCACAGCCAAGAAAGATAGTTGACTGTTGAGTCTCATACCCCATCCTGGGAATGAGACTCAACAATTAGCAGTTTTTTCTCAGCTCTGATTGGTTGCTTTTATTCAGGCCCAGTGCATTCATGAAAATGCCTTTAGAAGCACTTGGAGGAGCAATATGTTTTTTTAAATAAAAGTTACCTACTG